TTTGCATGTGTGCATGTGGAGAGAACATTATCCCAAATCAGACTGAATTAACCCCTGCCTGATGCCAGTGGGGTGCAGGCCTCCTGAGCCAGATAAAGGCATTTTTTTAAAGCTACATTTTCTTTCTTTCTGTTTTCTGTTTTTTTGTGGGTTTTTTTCACTTTTGAGTTGCAGAACATAAACTTCCCACCCCCCACTGAGCCCAAGACCCATTTTTCACAGCCAACTGTCCAACGTGTCCTTTACAGAAACTTCCCATGAGCAGAACCAAATAAAGCTATCTTGAGCTGACCTTCTCCCAGGCAGTCAAACACAGAAATAGAATTGTCTTGCCTTATACTGAAGCTCCCCTGAGACCACCCAATTAAACCAAAATGAAGCAATACATGTGCCTTCTCACCTCCAGCAAGTCGACCCCCGAATCTCAGACCCCACCACCATCACCCACACCAGATCGGCCCCAGAGATGATGGCTGTGGCTCAGCTCAGCCTGTACTCAGGGTCACTCTGGTGGGGCCAGCATCTTCACCTGGGAAATGCTTCCTGAGGCCTGGGCATTGGGAAGGCTCTTCTGGGAGAAGTGAGGGATGGTGGTGGCCAGAGGGGTGGGCATGGGGTGGGAAGGGGAAGGTGGCAGGACACCAGAGGGGTGGGGGTGGAAGGCTGTGTGTGGTTCACAGACAGGTTTGCGCCCAACTTGTAACTGTACGACTTTGCTTAATTGACTTTATCTTCCAAGGCTCTCGGTTTTCCTTTATCGATCAAAGATTTTTATCGTCATCATCCTATTCCAACTACCTGACATGTTCAGCTGAGCGAGGGAAGCTTTGAAACTAATAATAACAAAACGATTTCTAAGGGGGTTTACTCTTCTTTGTAGAAATGTTTCACGTAGGTTTTCTTCTTAGAGCATTTTAGGCAGTGATTTCTAAACTGGGTTCCCTGGATCCCCAAGGGCCCCTGGAGCACCCCCTTGGGAGACGAGAATGAGGTAGGGAAAATCTGGGTGCCCAGGACCCCACCGCCCGCCAGGATTTCCAACCAGAGCAGCCGCACCGTTTCCGTAGGCTTCCCAGGCCATGCGCTGCGTTCACAAAGTGGACTCCCAGGCTTTAAACAAAAAAGTTGGACTCACTGATTTCAGGAAAGCGGCCTGAGCAGGAAAGATGGCAAGCCTCCGTTCTCTCCCAGAACAGCCTGTCCACATTTTGGCTCCTAACTTCCACGTTGCCTGCTGGGCTCCTGAATCGCAGCTCAGCTGCCAGACACAGTGTCCCGCCCTGCTCCGCCCCTCCCAAACCCAGGGCCCAGGTCCTCAACCCAGTTCACAGGACCACAGACCTCCCCTCACTCCTGTGCCTGAGTGCCAGCATCACTCAGAGGGGCGTGATGAGAAGCTGAAATGCACCGGCCAGGGCCACTCCGGAGACCTGCGCCTTATTTCCGAAGGGCAACGGTGGCCATTGTGCTTAAATGAACTGCTTTCCTGGTGGAAAACATGTATTTTTAAAAAGCTTCCTTCCTCTCCTTTCTCCAAAATAAGAAAGCATTTCTTTTTTGTATCCCTTCCTAGACTTCTTAATGATACAGAAATTGCCCAGAGCACTTCACACTGAGTTATGAAGGCATTAGCATTTCTGGGATAAACACAGTTCCCGGGACAAGTTATTAGGTTCGGAGCAGTGGGGGGAAATGAGATGCATTGAAAGGGCCCACGTCTGGCACCTGCGGGCAGAGAAATTCACCTGTTCCTTGTGAAGGCGGCAGAGAGTGGAGGGCCCACGCCTCGCGCAGCCTGGGTGGCCAGTGGCTATCGCTGTGAAACGTGAAAGAATCGGCATCTCCATGCCCCCAGGCCAGCAAGCCTTCCAGACTCACGGCTCTGCAGCCGGCCTCAAGCCTTCTGGCATTTATGATCATTCAGATCCACCACACCGCAGGCTTCCAGACCCACAGCGAATTGTATCTGGCCATGCTGTGTGCTGTCAGATTCGCAGGGAAATCCACGTTCACGCTCTCCACTCAGCGCTGGCATCTCGAGTCTCCATCTCTCCTTCACACGCTCAGGTTTCACGGGCACTCGGATTTTTCTCTCCTTTTGATAAACAACTCTGGTGTGTTTTACCTGGAATATTTGGGGGGAGGGGCGGGACTTCAGCATACTGTATCTTGATTATTCTCTTATTCTGCTCCCACGTAAGAATGACAGTCATGGCCCAGCTGGCGTAGCTCAATGGTTGAGCTTACTGTATACCTATGAACCAGGAGGTCACAGTTCCATTTCCGGTCAGGGGCACATGCTCGGGTTGCGGGCTTGATCCCCAGTGTGGGGCTTGCAGGAGGCAGCTGATCATTGATGTTTCTATCTCTCTCTCCCGCTCCCTTCCTCTCTGAAATCAACAAAAACATATTTAAAAAAAAAAAAAAAGAATTACAGTCCATGAAAGAAACCCAGGCGGATTGGGGATTCAGATGCGCAGTGAAGCCACCTTGCCTCCTGTAGCTGAATCCCCAGCCACACATGGACTCCTGTGCAGCCTATAGGTGGGCTCAGAGGTTGGGTTTCTTTGTGGTTTCCCTTAGCCTGAGCTGTGCTGGGGTGGCGTTCTTTTTCGCGGGAGCCTTCCCCTGACTACGCCAGGAAACTCGTGCCAGAGGGATGAGATCAAGAGGGTAGTGTGTCCCCAGCAAGACTACCCACCCACCCCCCTGCCTTCCCCTGGCCCCTCCGTATCTGCTGCAGATGCCACTAACTCACAGCGCTCTTTTAACCTTGGGGGAAAGTTGGTCAAGGTATATGGAAACTCTGTGGCTTATCTTTGCAACTTTTCTGTAAACACAAAGCTATCCTAAAATAAATTCAAAGAGTGATATCGAAATATTAAGAGAGGTGCTTGGGTGTAGTTAATTAGGCCCCCAGATATTTTTGCAAAACTTGACTTCATGATATTATGAATGTCAAATGTGAAATGAAGGATGAGAGTGCTCAAATTTGGTGGAAAAACATATACCAGATTCTTTTTTAAATTCATTTTCTGTTAATTCTAAGATTTAGCACCTTGTTTACAATTATAACCTAAATTGTGTTAAATGCAAGATAAATTAATCTTCATAATTTTTAGTTTCGTTTTCCAAGATGAAGTCCCAATCCCAGTAATATAGTATCCTCACTGCTTATGTTGAAAACATCCCTCCCCCAACGAGTGGATGCATTTTACATCATTTCTCTGTGGTCCCCATGGTTGTGGGTAAGTGGCCTGCCCCTCCCAGCGCATACACCACCGCTCCCCGCATTCTAATGGGTTCTCAGTGGTGCTGGGGCGCGGGGAATGTGAGAAGCCCAGAGCTAATGGCTTTATCTAATGAAGGGACTGACAGCTCCAGGAAGCCTTGCTGAGTGAAATATGATGTCACTTCACGTCATGGGCCCCAGGAGACCTTCAGTAAAATCTACGTTTTGCATCAGTGCTTCGGAGTAGGAGTTTGTTTTTGCTTTGGGTTTTTATGAGACATATGTTGACATTGGCCTTCAAGATGAAGGCCAGATGGTGCAGTTCCATGCTGGATATCCCACGAATCACCCTGCACTGGGACGTGCTCACCACCTGCTTTCTCTCCAGCTTATGTTGAAAATGTCCCTCCCCCATAATCTAAGATCACCCCATAGAGCAGTGGTTCTCAACCTTCCTAATGCCGCGACCTTTAATACAGTTCCTCATGTTGTGGTGACCCCCAACCATAAAATTATTTTCGTTGCTATTTCATAACAGTAATGTTGCTACTGTTATGAATCATAATGTAAATATCTGATATGCAGGATGTATTTTCATTGTTCACGACCCACAGGTTGAGAACCGCTGCCATAGAGGGTTATGTGACTGCAGGAAGAATGCTTCCAGGCTGGGGGATGGGACCAGGGTGAACTAGAAAAACTGCCCCATCCGAAGGGGGCGGCCACGCTCAATGCGGGTCTGGTGCAGCCAGCCCTTCTGATTTTTCAAAATAAGCTAGGACTCTGGATTTTGGGATGCAGCTGCCCCATGTCTCTTTGTGTTTTGATTTTTTTAAAAAACAGGATAGACTGATCAAATAAGTCAGATCTGCAGTCTATACACAGGTGAACTTAGAACAATGTGGGGGTTAGGAGTGCTAACCCCCCACGCAATCAAAAATCCACATATAACTTTTGACTCCCCACAAACTGAGCTACTAATAGCCTGCTGTTGACTGGAAACCTTACCAATAACGTGAAGTTGATTAACATATTCTGTATGTTGTATGTATCATAGAATATATTCTTACAATACTAGTAAAGTAAGCTAGAGAAAAGAAAATGTTATTAAGAAAATCGTAGGAAGAAAATATACATTTATAGTATTTGTCGTAAAACATCCATGTATATGTGGACCTGGACAGTTTAAACCCGTGTTGTTCAAGGGTCAACTGTATGTCCATGGCCAGCCACTTTATAAGCTCTAAATTGGGAAACTATTAAAATTTAGGTTAAACTTACATAATAGGTTCCTGCCACTTTAGAAAATAAAAGTACTTTTCCTAATATAAGTGGTCTCTACATTTTCCTCTATATATTAGCAGAGTCTGGATCACAGTGCATAGGGCAGGGGTGGGCAACCTTTTTGTGAGTGCATGTCAAAACCAGCAAAATGTCTGACTCAAAATTTCTTCTGCGTGCCAACCCTAATTTTTTGAGAACATGTTACACCTCCTTGATATCTCTTAAGGTGTCCGTATGTGAAGAACCTTGAAGAAATAATAAAATTCATTCGAGCGACAAAAACACAGTATATGATGATGAAAAATACATTTATTTTTTAATGTATGCATGTACACTGATAGTCCAACAGAAAACTTTATGACTCCGTTTGATATTATCAGTGGGACTAGTGCTGCCAAGAGAAACATAGAAATTTATTCCCCTTTCGTTAGTACCTATGGGCAAAGTGAGAGAGAAGATTTCATTTTTATAAAATGAAATTTTGAATAAGTAGGTGGGGCGGTTGTCTTGTCAACGAAAACCCATTGCGTCTGAGGCTGAAACCAAAACACTGGTCGGATCTAGGAAGGCAGGGAGAATTAAGGCAGAGGCATAGAAATTGCTCTTCCCCTCTCTTGTCAATCCATGTCTATGGTCTTCAAGATAACTTGTTATGTAAAATTATTTATTTATCTAAGATGCACCTACACTGAATTTATCTGAAAAATAAAAAAGTCGATATTAAGAAAAAAATTGTAAATGGAAGATTATAAGAGAGGGTTTCGCGTGCCAGCAGAAGTTACTGGCGTGCCATGTTTGGCACGCGTGCCAGGGGTTGCCCACCCCGACATAGGGTTTCCCCAAAAAATGTGTACAGACTTTGAATGATTATAAAATCAGTGTTTATTAGCATACAGTTCATTTTCAAAATTTAAAAGAATCTACAGAAATGGATACTTTTTTTTGGTCAATGCCTATTTTCACACTGATGACCTTCCTGATAGAGGCACTGCTGATAATGTGAAGCAATGGAATCTCAAACATCAAGAATCATTTCGTTTGGTATTTGTGCACCCTCAATTCATTGACTGTTGCCGGTTTTGTACTGTAAACTTTATCTTTTATGTGTCCCCATAAAAACATCTACCGGATACATTTTCTTTGTTCAAAGCTTAATCTGGCTTCCCCTGTTATTTCAAACCAGTTAAACCTGAAAAGGAGTGTAAATTAAGTGAGTTACTAGCTGTTAAAGTGTGTATATATTTTGGGGGGACACGATTTTTTGAGACACCATGCATCCCCAAAATATGTATACAAATCTTAAATAATTATAAAGGCATTGTTGGTACTTCAAGTGCATTTTCAAACTTCCAGTAGCATTTTAGGATGAATTTCCTTTTGTTCAAAGCTTAGTCTGGCCAAAAAGAAAGAAATATCAATTGAACTATATCAGCTGTCCAAGTGTGGGTACATGTTTTGGGGACACCCTGTATTTATAACACATAGATGCATGCATCTCTATGTCTAAAAGGAGAGATTCTAGCTCCTACTTTGCTTTCCAGGTCTCTACTCTCTGCTTTTTAAAGCCCCGTTAATAATCAGATCACAAAGGAGAAGAGCTTTAGGTCCATATCGGAGGTAAATTCTTTGCAAGAGGTCGCATTCTTTCTGGCGTGCGGGCAACAGCCCCAGCCCGGCAGAGTGTTTACCTACCTACTCAAGGGCATAAGCCAGTTATCCTTGCCAAAGGAGGTATTCAAATGTGGCTTTCCCAAGACCCAGCCATTTCCAACCTTTCTCGAGTCATCTGTCAAAAGATACCAAGTTGAGGCTAACCATTCATCTTATGCTTCTGCTTCCCCCAAGGACAGATGAAATAGCTACAAATTAGCTCTCTTTTCCAGATGGCAAAGCCAAAATAGACACCCACCATAATTTATGGGATAGATGCATGAGAAAGGAACTGAGTCCTGGCACGGTGATTTATGGGGAGACAGTAAGTTCTTTCCCAGGACATAGTGATGCATGCTTTCATTTTCAGGCAGCAAAACGTTGAGGTCAAGGCCAGTTCAGTTCCATACAGTGAAGGTGAATCCCCGACTTGCCTTTTCCAGAGAGGCACCTATGGCCTGGACACTAACCCAGGACTGACTGGTGCACCAGGCAACCTTGAGTAAATCACTCAGCTCTTCCTGCTTCCTCTTCAGCTGCCCCTGTGTTTGGGGAGAAAGGAAAGTTGCCCTCTGGAGGGCCTGGAGCATTGCCGAGGTCCTGGTGTCCCCTGGGCACAGCTTGCTGCCACCTGAAGTGGAAGCCTTGCTACTCTTACCAGTGTGTCTGTCTGTGTCCAGCTCCTGCCTCTTGCTCCTCAGTGTTCAATTCCACATGAAAAGACATCTGTTTTGCTTTCCTGGGGCTGAGAGGTTAGATAAATGTTCAGTCTCATCTTTAAAGGCGGTCTTCTCTGAAACACCGAGATGCCTCATCCGATGGTCAGGAGCGTCCAATGGGAACTTCCAGTTATTTGCCTTGACAGCCCAGGTGTCTGACTTGAAGTCAGGGGCCTGGTGAGCCCCTCCAATTCATCCCAGGATGTGTCACCCAAATGCAGGGACTGACAAAGCAGCCAGGCCCATGTGCATTTGTTCTAGAAAGCAGCTACTCCCCGCTCTGTGTCTGGGGGTGTCCTACTTAGAGGGTTGTGTTGCTTACACAAGCCCTACAAATTCACTGATACAAATACCACGTGCACCAAAAAGAACATGGTAATAACTATATATACACTGAGTGGCCAGATTATTATGACCACCTGACGTTTGTAGGCAAATTAGCTGTAATTTCGCACTGAAGTTGCTAGAGGGCCAGACCATTATAAATAGGGAAGCAGGTTGTTTACCACAACAGTAGAATTGATTTTTTTTCTGAAGATATGGGTAAACAATGCGATTTAACAGCCTTTGATCATGGGCTACACACACACACACACACACACACACACACACGCACACACACTGAGTGGCCAGATTATTATGACCACCGGACATTTGTGGGCAAATTAGCTGTCCACTGCATCATATGGGATATGGAAGCCAAAGCCCTGTTCGAACACCTTTGCTGTCTGCAGTTACCAAGATAAAACGTCTCAAATTCACACAGGAACACAAGGATTGGACAGCGGAGCATTGGAAAAAAGTCATGTGGGCCGATGAATCACGT